CTGCTAACCAAAAGGTCAGTGGTTCAAGTCTACCAGCCGTTCCTTGGAAACCCTATGGGGCAGTTCTACTCTGTCCTATAGGGTTGCTATGAGTTAGAATCGATTCAATGGCAATGAATTTTTTTTTTATATATATATTGCATATATATATATAGACAGAGAGAGACTGAGTCTCTGGGTAGCACAAACAGGTGCTCTGCTGCTAACAAAAAGGTTGGTGGTTTGAGTCACCCAGAGGCACCTCAGAAGAAAGGCCTGGCAACCTACTTCCAAAAAAAATCAGCCACTGAAAAGCCTGTGAAGCACAGTTCTCCTCTAATATACATGGGGTCGCCATGAGTTGGAATCAACTCGACAGCAACTGGCTTTATATATGTATATATGTATATGCATGTACGTATGTGTGTGTGTGTGTGTGTGTGTATTAGGCATAGTGCTAAGCATTTTGTATCCATGGTCTTATTTCAGCCTAAAAAAACCACCCTATGAGGTTGGTACTATGCTCAGTTTTTACATGAGAAAACTGAGGCTCAGAGGCATCAAGTAATTGACTCAAGATTACACAGCTAGGAATTAGTAGAACTAGGATTTAAACCTTATCTCTCCAATTTCAAAAGGCAAATGCTTCGGGAATACACACGAATGAGTAGGAAAGGGGTTCAGGTCCCTTCACTCTTCCTCACACGTGCTATAGAGTCTTGGACATCTGTTTTTCTTGCTCACTTTCAACTGCTCTAGGCAGGGGAAGTCGGATCAGGTCAGGGAATCAGAGCATTCCAGCACGTTCTCAAACCTTCCATCAGTGTACCAGAGTGTACTGACGGAGGAGAGAGCACCCTACCCCAGGAGGTGTGACATGTGAAGACAGCTGAAGTGATGTCACTAAGCCCGAAAGGGAGTAGCTTTCCCATGGTTTTGCTTTTTTGACTTTTTTTGGGTGGTAAATATATAGGTAACAAAATAGTTGCCATTTCCGCAATCTTCACGTGTTCGATTCCATGCCATTAAATATGCTCATCATGTTGTTCAACCAGCACCATTCCCGAATTTTTCCATCACCCCAAGCTCAGTGTCCCCTAAGCATTGTGTCTTCATTTCTCTCTCCCTCCCACTCATCTCTGGTAACCACTAATAAACCAGGTTTTATTTTTTAAATATATACGCAAACTTTGCATCCTTCTTACTACTATATCCATGTTTTATTTTATTATTTAAAAAAACGTAGCCTCCCTCACTAATCCTCAGTTAACTGAGCCTCAGAGAGATGCATCACGTTGTCTTCTGGTTCATGGCTGCATTTTGCTGGGGTGCAGGTTGAACTGCTCAAAGCATGTTGCAGCTTGTCTCAGAAGGAGGTCTCCTGGCTGTCTCAGGGGATCTTTTCTATGAGCCCTGTTTCCTAAGGCCTCTGACCCTTTCCCTCTGAGTTTTACCGGCATCCATGGTGTTCCTAACTCCTAGCCCCTCACTCTCCTGCTCCTCAGGTTACACGCTGACCTGGCTGTCCTCCTTGGGAAACACATCACTGTTGGCAGCTGGAGCCCCCCGGTACAAGCATGTGGGGCGGGTGCTTCTGTTCCAAGAGCGAAACGGCAAAGAACTCTGGAGCCAGATCCAGGAAATAGACGGGGCCCAGGTGAGCACAGCCAAGGGGCATCCACACAACAGGGGCTGCCTGGGACATTCGTTATAGCCCCTGCTATTCTTTGAACGCTTATCCACCTGCTGTGTGGCTGTGAAAAATGGCATGGTGGTAGGGGTGTCTGACCTCCTCTAACTTCACAAGCGGGAAGGAGAATCAAGATTAGCAGCCTAAGGCTGATTCCTATGAGGCAGAGGTCAGACATGCCTCCACCCTACGGCCTTTTTACCAATTCTGACACCATCTGTTCCTCCCATGGCACTGTCTACCTCTCTGCTGGGTGTGACAATTTGTTGCAATGGCCATACAGAACTCACAGACCATGTTATTAGGGAAGTAACAGGTTACAATTCAGGATCAAGAATGACTCAGGATACAGTTCTTCGATCAGAACAGCCTCTTCTCAGCCGTGCCCGTAGACAGGCCTCACCTTTGCCCTGCTTGGGCAAGTGTTACAAAACTCTTCAGCTTTGCCAGTAAGTGCCCGGGGGCACCCCCTCTACCAGGAAGCCTCCTGCCCACAGGCTCTCAGCTCTCTTGCTCAGTGGGTCAGCACACCCGCTGTAACCACCTTGCTCCGTGGACCAGGAAGCCTACCGCGCCATCTTGAGCTGTCTCCTGGTTCTGCTGCTACCATTTCTCTGCTGCTGCTTCTCACCATCTTGCACCATCTCTGGTGTTACAGCTTTCTCTGTGTCTCCTGGATCTAGGAGGTTCTTAGCGCAAGGACCCCGGGTCAAAATGACGCCCTCCGCTCCCATCTCTTCTTCTCGATAGTAGAGGTTCCCCCCATCTGCCTCTGGGATGGCTGATTTTAAGCCTAGTAGGATGGGAAAACTGACCAATACCCTCGTTAGAGTTCCCACGCTCCCATGCTTAAAAAGGTGCCATGCACCGTATTTGTGTTATTAGCAAGCAATCCAGTCCCTTGGTGGGCCACAAGCACCTCATTTTCGTAGTCCCACTTAGTCACTTGGTGCGAGGTACAAGACCGTGGCAAGAAAGGCCACATAAAAGCGATCCATTGCACCATAGTGGCACCAGCACTATACAAACATTGTCACATTTGCTCCTCCCCAACACCTCCGAGGTAAGCTTTGTCATCTTCAGTTTACAGTTTACGAAAGTAAACCTCGAAGAGCTCAGCTTGTCCTATTCCTATAGGCTCTGAGGGAGGTCCAGGATTTGAATCTGCATTTGAGGGGCTGGAAGAAGATGGACTTGGTACAGCTAATGGGGAGAGAGATGTCCTTCTATCTCCTGAGATCCCTAGCTCTTCCTCAAACCTCTTCCTCTTCCTACAGATTGGCTCTTATTTTGGTGGGGAGCTTTGTGGCATTGACGTGGACCAAGACGGGGAGACAGAGCTGCTGCTGATTGGAGCCCCCCTGTTCTATGGGAAGCAGAGAGGAGGCCGGGTGTTTGTCTACCATAGAAAACAGGTGGGGACCAGGAGGATGTTGAGCCAAGGGAGTGGGGAGAAACAGAGGTTCATAGGTCTATTCAGGTCCCAGTTATTCTGAAAAACTTTCCATGTCTGATCATGTGTTAATCAAACTTTCAGAACAACAGACAAGCAGTAGCCAATACTTACTGGGGGCGGACCGTGTGCAAGACCCAGTGCTCAAGATTTTGTTTATATCTGACCTCATTTGATCCCCACAATCACCTTCTGAGATACTATAAGCTTTATCTGACAAATGGGAATACTGAGGCTCAGCAAGGTTAAGTAACTTTCCAAAGCCACAAGGTCACACAGATGCAGGTGGAGCTGGATGGCACAATCTTACATTTCGTTAGTATTCTTCACAGTCACACATGCCACGTTCTGTGAAAGTTTGTTGAGTGACTGAATGTGGTGTGACCTGTCTCCTTGCTCCCTTGCTCCCTCCTAGCTGAGGTTCGAAGAGGTCTCAGAACTGCAGGGGGATTCTGGATACCCCCTTGGGTGGTTTGGAGCAGCCATCACTGCCCTGACGGATATCAATGGGGATGGCCTGATGGACGTGGCTGTGGGAGCCCCACTGGAGGAGGAGGGGGCTCTGTACATCTTCAATGGGCAGCATGGTGGGCTCAGCCCCCGACCAAGCCAGGTGAAGTACCCCTGCCTACCAATCATAAACCCATTCCCAGGTACCTCGAAGCCTCCAAGCCCAAACCCACTCTCTAGCCTGACTCTTCCCTTCCTCCAACCTGTCCTCTCCCCAGCTTGGCCTGAGTTTCTTTTTTGCTCTCAGCGGATAAAAGGGACCCAGGTGTTCTCAGGAATTCGGTGGTTTGGACGTTCCATCCACGGGGTGAAGGACCTTGGAGGGGATGGCCTGATAGATGTGGCTGTGGGAGCTGAGGGTCAAGTGATCATACTGAGGTGAGACAGGACTTCTGAGTCCCACCTAAGATTAACTTCCGCTCTCATCCTTTGAACAGTTACTGTGTACTAGAAACCTCAATAAATGCTTCATACGCTGTAGCTCATTTGGTCTTAACCCCAACCCTGTGAGCGAGCTTCTCCTTTTTATAGAAGTCTTACTCCAGGTTACACGGTTGCTCGTCAGTGGCAGAATGGGATTTGTACACAGGTCTACCTGACACTAAAACCTCCTAGAGAAGCAACATTATATAACGGATAAAGACATGGCATTAGAACCTGATGACCTGGATTCAGGTTGAAGCTCTGCCATTTACAGCTTGAATGATCTTACCCCAGTCACTTAGCTTCTCAGGAGCTAAGTTTCCTCATCTTTGAAATGATGGTAGCAGTCCCTGCCTTCCCATACCTTAGAGTTGTTGGAGCATCATGTGACATCACACAGTAAATGGATATTTACTGAGCACCTACTATGTCTTAGGACTCCCTGCACAGTACAGTTAACACCCTCGGCTGCTAGCCAAAAAGTCCACCTACAGGTACCTTGGAAGAAGGGCCTGGCAAGCTACTTCTGAAAAATCAGCCACCGAAAACCCTATGGAGCGCAGTTCTTCTCTGACACACATGGGGTCACCAGGAGTTGAAATTGACTCCACAGCAACTGGTTCGGTGCTATGTCTTAACCACTGAACCTGAACCAGGCATCAGGCGCCTGGTGTATGTGTGGGGTAACATATAATTTAAAAATTAAGCAATTAAATGGGTAGTTCCAAATTGTAATAGGTGCTATGGAAGAAATAAACAGAGTACTGCGAGAGAGACTAATAGGGGAACCTACTATAGACTGAGCAGCCAAAAAGACCTCTCTGAAGAGATGATATTTGAGTTGGGACTTGAAAGAGGAGATGTCTGTAGAAATCTGGGGTGAGAGCTGTCTCTGTAGAAAACCTGAGCTATGCCATGGCTGTAGGCAGGCAGAAGTTTGATGTGTTCAAAGAACTGAGAAGGCCAATGTGGCTGGAACACGGTGAGCCAAGGGAGATGCGACTGGAGAGGCTGGCAATGTGGCATGAAGAGTGAAAGTTTGGATTTTAGTCTAAATATCATATGGCATCACTGAAGGCTTATAAGCACAGAAGCTCGAGATGATTTTCTCTTTTTGAGAACTCAGAGGAAGTGGATCAGAGGCTGCTAGGATGGAGTGGGGAGCCCGCATGTGTAATTGCTATTATTGAGAGGAATCAGTGACTCTGAAGTCTGCTTTAGAAAGGAGAGTGCTCTGGGCTCTGTAACTGAGGAGGCGCAGTGCAGGCCACACTGGTTTTCTGTCCCACAGCTCCCGGCCTGTAGTGGATGTCATCACCACGATGACCTTCTCCCCGGCTGAGATCCCAGTGCACGAAGTGGAGTGCTCCTACTCAACCAGTAACAGGAAGAAGGAAGGGGTGAACATCACCATCTGTTTCTATGTCAAGCCTGTCCTCCAGTTCCAAGGTCAGAGCTGTTCTTCTGCTCCCTAGAGCCCCTGCCCGCCCTCATCCAGCTTATGGCCCAGGACCCTTCACTATTCAACTCCACCTTTTTTTTACCCTGCCCAGGGCCCCTGGTTGCCAATCTCACTTACACCCTGCAGCTGGATGGCCATCGGACCAGAAGCCGGGGGCTGTTCCCTGGCGGGAGACGTGAGCTCAGTGGGAACACAGTTGTCTCCCCTGTCAGGTCCTGCTTTGAGTTCTGGTTTCATTTCCCGGTAAGGAGTGGGCTCTGCTGCTGGGGAAGGGGCGGATAAGCGCTAGCTGGAAGGCGCGGCTCTGGCATGGTGTAGCTAAGTGACCAGTCACTTTTCTCTCTCTGTGCTACCGTTTCCTCCACTGTACTATAGGAATAATAGTACAATACCTTTTATATATTTTCTTCTAGGCCTTAACCTATATACATATGCAGTTTTAACATGATTTTGATTGCAATGTACTTACCATTTTTTTTACTACTTTTTTCACACATCATATTTAAATGCTACTACCTAGCTTTCAAAATTAGTTTTTTTTTGGGTGGAAGGGACAGGTCTACTCTGTCCTATAGTGTCGCTACGGTCATAATTAGTTTCAATGGCTACAGAATTTTCAGTCATACAGAATATTCAGCCAAGGTGGTGTACCATTATTTGCCAGGTACATATGGTCGTAATCAGAAAATTTTTTTAACCTTAATTTAAACAGCTGCTGAAGTGTTCAGGTTCCTTTTGCTTATAGCAGTCCCATATAAAAATAGGATTGATATCAAATTATTCTAGTCTCTTAAATATTCCACAAAAGACGAAGTTTAGGATTGGGGCAAAAGATTTTGAAGTTTGTTTTCAACTTTTTATTCTGGGAAAGTTCAAACATATACAAAAGTAGAAAAATAGTTTAACAAATCCCCATATACCTATCACCCAGTTTCAACAATTATCAACTCACATCAAATTATTTCATTCATAATTCATACCTCCATTCAGTGCCCTTCTGCCCCTCCTCCATTACTTTGAAGCAAGATTTTGAAATTTTCAATATAAATTTGCCAGAGAAGAAGGCAGTGGGACATGGTGGAAGGACCTTGGACTTTGGAGTTAGATCTGGATTCAAGTCCTGACTCTGTCACTTCCTAGTTTTATGCTTTAGGAAAATTATGAAACCTTTCTAGACCTCATTTGTTTCATTTTTAATGTGGGGATATTAATGCCTACTTCTTAGGCCTGGTAGAAACTTTAGGTGAAATACATCTGAGTGCCTACAGAGTGCCGATGTCAGACACTAATAATAACAAAGAAGACTAAGACTCATCTCTGTTCCCAAGGAAATAGTATCTAGAAATGTTTTTAGGTGCCGTCGAGTCAGTTCCAACTCACAGCAACCCTATGTACAACAGAATGAAACATTGCCCGGTCCTGCGCTATCCCCACAATCACTGCTATGTTTGAGCCCATTGTTGCAGCCACTGTGTCAGTCCATCTCATTGAGGGTCTTCCTCTTTTTTGCTGACCCTCTACTTTACCAAGCAAGATGTCCTTCTCCAGGGACTGGTCCCTCCTGATAACATGTGCAAAGTATGTGAGACGAAATCTAGCCATCCTTGTTTCTAAAGAGCATTGTGGCACTTCTTCCATCCAGAACTAGGATATTCTAATTATTCTAGAATATTCTTTTGCAAACTTTGATTGATTGATAATGGCTGCCTAGAGCAGTTTCACAAGGATTCAGGGACTTTTGGTAGGGCTCAATGGGGAAAAGTGCTGTGATTGATTAATGATGCCTGCCATGGAATTGGAGCTGAGAAGTGACAATCCCTGTGCTGAGAAGCAACCCTGAGTATATTATAGAACACCTGGTAGTAAACAATAGCTATTATTAGAATTCTCACTACTGTTAAGGTCTTGGACAACTAAGTACTAGAATTTCATCATTTGTAAGAAGTGGACAAAGTACACATTTAATTGGAAGTCATCATGACATAGGCTGTTTTATTCTTCTTATCACCCTCAGGTATGCATTCAAGACCTCATCTCTCCCATCAATGTCTCCCTAAATTTCTCTCTTCAGGAGGAAGAAGGGACACCGAGGGACCACAGAATGGTAAGAAGAGATTGGTGGGGTTGTTGATGGAGAATAGTGGACAGTAGAAATTCAGTTTAGCAAGAAGTGCCTGTCTCATATGGGAGTCTTTTATTTTAAGTAACAGAAACCAAATACAGCTTACTTAAGCAGAAAAGGAATTTATGGGGGTTTGTATCTATGGCTCAAAGGGAAATCTGATAACCTCATTAACCCCATTATAAGAGTGGGAGAAGGGGAGCCAGGGTGGTGGCTCTGGGGGATTTCAAGGGGAGGAAATAATGGGTGCATTCTTCAGGGCTTGGCCACTGCAATGAATCAGCTTCAGACCTCTTTTGGCTTTGAACACTCTGCTCAAGATGCAAATTCCAGGGAGAGAATTCCAGAAGACCTAGCTTTGGGCCCAGGATCATCCAGGGTACCCTGTCTAGCCTTCACACCAAACTGTATTCAGTCAGGGGCAGTTAGTTCCCTCCAAGTCAAATTGGGGTGCTATTATTACGTGAAAGAAGGAGGAAAAATAGTTTACCATATCATATGCTCCCCACACAGTGCCAAAAGCCTGATTAGACCTAGCCTGGCCTCTGTGAGGCAGGCAGCAGGGTCTGGTGGAAACAACCAGCTTGAGCTCTCTGGGTCTATTTTCCTGTCTACCATCTATAAAAAATGAGTCCCAGTATTTTATACTGTGAGATCTCTTCCAGAGCTGGCGACCTCTCGCTCCTGAGTGGTGACTGCTAAGTGTGCTCTTTCTTGTGGGGCCCCTTTCCTGCCACCCTCTCATTGGCCCCTTGCTGCCTTCTGGTTGCACATATTGAGTGTACTCCTGGATACACATGCTCACCCTCCTGAGATCTGAAGATAACAATGGTGGGTTTAGCAAAAAATAAAGCCCTGCCCACCAAATGCACATCACCACCTAAGGAAAGTTCATTGGACACCTTCCCTGCACTAAGCCCTATTCTGGGGACCTGCTCCACTGAGGAGCTCACAGCCGAAAGCCAGACAAGTAAATAGACAGAATCCACTGTGATAACGCTATGGTAAAGTTCAATACAGGGTGGCACAGCTCTTATGGCACAGATCTGGAGGATAAGGAAAGCCTTCCCACAAGAGGTGACCGTGAAGGTCCCTAGACGGTGAAAGGAGATGGGCACTTAGGAAGAAGGCATAATGTGAGCAAAGGCATAAGAATGTGAGAGTGTGGGGTTATGGGATGGGTAAGGGAGAGAGAAGATAAGGCCAGAGAGGCCTGATGCTCTTGAGTGGCCATTTCAGATGGACTAAGGGGTCTGGCCTTTTCCCTGAGGGCACTGAGGAGCCATTAAAGGATTTTTAAGGAAAGGAAGAAAATAGTACGTATAAAATGGTGAGGGTGGTAGTATCAGTATCAGTAATAGTAGTAGTAGTGTCAGAACCCGTCTAACTTCATGTGGGTAATGACCAGGACAAAGATCAGCCCAAGGCCGATCCCTACGAGGTGGTAGTCAGACATACCTCCACTCTCCAACCTTTTACCAATTCTGACACCAGCCGTCCCTCGCATGGCACTCCCTACTTCTCTTCTGGGTTCGATAATCCGTTGCAATGGCCACACAGAACTCACATACTTACAGTGAAGTGGTTTATTAAGGAACAGGCTACAACTCGGGATCAGGATCAACAGGCTACAACTCGGGATCAGGATCAGGAAGCATGTAGGCAAAGTCTCCCTTCTTCACAGGGCAGCTCTCAGTTCCTCTCAGCCATGCAGGCCTCATCTCGGCCCCCTCTTGGCCCTGCCATCTGTCACTGTCTACTGGACCCCTTCTGGGCCTGTCACAACCAGCTGCGCCACTGGGCCCCTTCTGAGCCTCTTGTTGTCTTCAGTATTTTGGCTCTTGACTGTGTTACAGCTCTTTTAGAAGGTTCCTTGCTTCCTCTCTCTCCCTGCTTCTTCTCTCATCTTTTCTGTTTCTTCCTGCTGCTTCTCTTCCTGCTTCTATCTGAAACCTCTGTGGGGTCCATACAACTCCTTGTCAATTTCAAGGCATGGCCTCTCCCAGCAGGGGGCCACAAACTAATCCAATCCCCTCTCTGTTGGCCACAGACACTTCATTTGCATAGTAGGCTACAACTCACCTCATTTGTATAGTCTATTGATCAGTCCCTGCAAAGTGCATACCGATTACAGGGCAAGCTGCAGCACAGGGCCAGACAAAGAGTTATCAAACCTCAAATTGTTTAAAGCTGTTTACAGCTTACCCAGGAAATGTCAATCAACCTGGACAAAAGTTACAAACCCTCTAGGGTAGGAAACTAGGGCAAAGGTAACTTCTGGAGGCTTAGGGGAAAAATCTCTCAAGCTGTTTTTCCAAAGAACCAGGCAAAAGGCACATAAAGGCACCATAGTATGTTAGGATAGTTTGTTTTATTGCGGTAAAAATACATCCAACACAACATTTGCCAATTCGACAATTTCTACATGTATAATTCAATGACATTGATTACATTCTTCATGTTGTACAAGCATTATCACTATTGTTTTCTAAGTTATTCTATCATTTACATAAGCTCAGTGGTCCTAAGCAAAAGCTTCCCCTCTCCCCCTGCCTCCCATAGGATGGATTTTTTTATTGCAAGTGTCAAAAACCCAGCTCAAACTGATTGAATCTATTAGGGGTGGGGAAAGGAATCTATTGGCTCAAGTATCTGAAGAGACCGAGGGTAGATACTGGCTTCACACATAGCTGGCTCCAGGTGCCCAGATAAGATAATCAGTAATCTACCTTTCTTCATATCCTTGTATTGATATCCTAATCCTTGCATTGGGATCGTTGCTGGGCAAGCTCTCCTTCACTTTATCAGAATGGCTACCGACAGCCCCAGACGTTATCTTGGTAGCTTGGTAACCCAAGCAGAAAAGAGAGTGCCTCCTTCCCACTGTCATGACCTGAGTCATATTTACACCCCTAAACCAGTCCCTGGTGGTGAAATGGTTAAAGCACTCGGCTGCTAACTGGAAGGTCAGCAGTTGGAACCCACCAGCCGCCCCATGGGAGAAAGTTGTGGCTGTCTGCTTCTGTAAAGATTTACATCCTCGGAAACACTATGGGGCAGTTCTACTCTGTCCTATAGGGTTGCTATGAGTCGGAATCAACTCAGTGGCAGTGGGTTTTGTTTTGGTTTTAAACCAGTTCTGGACACCAGCCCTGGGTCAGGAGCCCATTGCTGGCCCTGGAGTGGGACCAGGCACGCAAGGGTAGCCGGGTGATCAGCCCCACCTTAACTCCAAGTCCTAGGAAGTGGGGAGTAGTGTTCCCCAAAGGAAAGTTAAGGTGCTGCTATTGGAAGGAGGGAAATAGACATCTCGACTGTCGCGTATATACTTCAGGAAGATAATTCCAGCGGCTGGATGGAGGCTGGATGGGAAGGATGTAAGTCTGGAGGCAGGGAGACCTCTGGGAGGCTATTGTCACGGTCCAGATGAGAGATGGTAAGGTCTGACCCTAGGCAGTTTCTGTGGGAGTGGAAAGGAGGAGATAAAGTAAAGAGACTTAGAGGCAGGATTGCTCAACTGCTTAGACGTGGGGCGAGAGGCAGACAAGGACGCCCGTTCCTGGCTGGGATCTGGGTGGATGACGGTGCCTCTCACTGCAATAGGGAGCACGAGCGAACAAGCAGGTGAGTCAGGAAGCAGAGCTGGTGAGTTCGGCTTTGGACTGGTTGCATTTGGGGCCTGTGAGTCACCCAGGAGGCAACTGGATCCATTTTAGGCATGGCCAAGGTGTCAGGTTACGAACTCAGCTGTAAACAACAGAGATTCAAATTAAAAGTGGCTTAAAGAAAAAGAAAAGTCTATTTCTTTCATCCCGTTAAAGGCAGATGAAAGCTGGTATAGCAGTTCTCTTTCTCTAAATCAGGGGCTGGCAAACGTTTCCTGCAAAGGGCCAGATAGTACATATTTTTGGCTTTGCAGGCGAGATGGCTTCTGTTGCAACCACTCAATTCTGCCGTTGTACTGCCAAAGTAACGGAGTCTGCTCAAGCTCTAACCACTGTGTCTGCATTCTGCATGTCCACATTCTTGCCAACAGGAAGGGGGGGTGGAAGAAGAGCACAGCCTTTCCCTTTAAATCCATGTGACACTTTGGCATGGCCACATCTAGCTGCAAGAGAGGCTGAGACATGTAGTCTTCCGTCCGTGCAACCGTGTGACCAGCTAAAAAGTGAAGGTCTATTTTGAAGGAAGAAGTTGAAAAAAGCCATATGGGACAACCAGCTGCCTCTGCCAGAGGCACTAATTATTAACACCAAACTGTGTGGTGTAGGACGTCAGGGGAGAAAAGAGACCTGAGGTCAAAGAAGTCAAAAAAGGCTTCCTGGAGAAGGGTTGTTGCTTGTGGATCTTGTATAATGAGTAGCCTTTGGGTAGGTGGAGAGAGGACAGGCAGAGAAACAGCGTGAGGAAAAGCATGGGTAAGGTTCCAGGGAAATGGGGAAGTGGGCTTAGTGCCTGGTGGGAAAAGAGCTGAACAAGATAGATGACCTAGATGCCTGTTTGGGAACTGGCTGTGGTCCAATGGGAGGGGGAGAGCTGTGTGAATGTTGAGGTGGGTGGTGAGCTGTCGGCAGGGGCCGCAAGCACCCCAACCCCTCAAGGAGGAGTCTGAGGCTGCTTGGAGGATGGCCTAGAAGCAGAGGAGGCAGGAGTCTTTCTAAAATATACAACTCTTCACCCATAAAACCCTTCCATGGTCCCCATTACCCTCAGGATAAAGTCCCAACATGCCCTGCGCTGTGAGGCCCAGTGGAGTCTTCACCCCGCTCTCTCCTGGCACCTTCGAACACTTTGATCCAGCCAGCCTGAGCATAGCCCTGCTCCTGGCACACAGCCTTGTATGACTGTTCTTTGTTCCTCCCTCTCCATACTCCTCACCTGGCTCTGTCCTACTCAACCTTTAGATCTCAGTTGAGACAGCATTTCTTCAGGAAGCTTTCCTGGGATAGAATTCCTTCTATATGCTCTAGAGGCACCCTATACTTGTCCCATCACAACACTTGGCCCCTCTGTGGTAAACGCCTGTTCCTCTCTCCCACCATATTGGGAGGGAGGCAGTACATCTGTTTTGTTCTCTGGTGTATACCCAGTGCCCCGCACGGGGCCTGGTCTAGAGTAGAAGCTCAAGGAATGTTGAAAAAATTGGCCCTGGTCTGATAGGCAGTGGAGAGCTGTGCGTGGGGGGAGGTGGGGCTCAGAGGAGAACCAAATGAAAGAGCTATTCATGGGCAGCTGAGTCTGGAGGCTGCACAGCAAGGGGGTCCTTCCAAGGGAAGAAACTAGGGGTGGGAGGAACTGTTGGAGGCTCCTCCACCAAGGCTCAGACCTTTTGCCCAGAAATGGCAGAATGAGACACCCTGAGCTGGAGCTGCCACCTGAGAGGAGGGTTGCATAGATAGCTGGCACTGAGGCAAGAGAGTGGGGCCTGCTGGGAGGGGCAGACCACAGCCAGGCCAACGGAGCCTGGAGCCTCTCTAGCCCTCCTCCATGAGTTCTGCTACCTCAACTAATCTCTCCTGTCTCCCGGCCCTCCTACTCCTCCGTGCTCAGTGGCGCAAGGACGTACAGCCCATCCTGAGACCCATACCACACTCGGAGACTAAGGAGGTAAGAGAGAAGTGGGGCAGACAGAGAGGCCAGGGGTCAGGACCCCTCCGGGATCTGGGGGCTGAGCCTCCTCCTGCTTTCTTCTTGGCCTTTCAGATCCCTTTTGAGAAGAACTGCGGCGAGGACAAGAAGTGCGAGGCCAACCTGGAGCTGTCCTTCTCTGAAAGGTCTGTGAGGCTTCAGACCCACTAGGCCCTCCCGTTCCGCTCTGTGTTTTCCTGAGGCAGCTGCTACGTGCTGGAAAGAAAGACTCCCAGCTCCATTCACTGGCTGTGTAGTCTGAGGAAGCCACTTTCCCTCTCTGGGCTTAGTTTCCTCCTCTGAGAAATGGGGGAAATAATCCCGTTGTGGAACACCTGTCAGGATTAGATGAGACTGCAAAATTTAAAGCCTGTGTGCACATGCTTATTTTTATTCATCTATTTTCTTATGGCCTACCAGATCCTTCAGCTCCAAAATTCCCGTCTCTGATCCTGCTTTCCTCATCTTAGCCCCATAACTGTTCCCTGACCTTCTCCGTAGATCCAGAGTCCTGCATCTGATCCCCTCAGCCAGCATGTCTGTGGAGCTGACACTGAGTAACACGGGAGAAGATGCCTACTGGGTCCACCTGGGCCTGAGCTTCCCCCGAGGACTCTCCTTCCGCAAAGTGGAGATGCTCAAGGTGAGCAAGAAGGCAGCGCCTTCATGGGCGCCGTGCCCCCTGCAGCCTCAGCTCCCCTCTGAGCTGCAGGTAGCCAGGACGGCCTGAAACTGTGGGCAGCAGCTGGCATGCAGTGGTCTTTGTGTCAAATTGGGTTCTCAGCCTGATGGTCATCCTCTAGCTGTGTGACCTGAGGTAGAGGCTGGTGACGCTTACCCACAGAGTAGTGAGAGGGTCACCTGAAATGAAGTATGTGAAAAAGGCTTGTGGACTGGGCGCCATGTACACTTGGTAATCAAGAAAATATGCCCAGGTTTAGTAAGATCCGTTACCTCCCCCACAGCAGTAATCAAAGTGTTTCTGAGGGATGGCCTGGATTGTTTTAAATGTAACTTTTATGTTTTAAATTACTATTATGAAAGTAATGCCCAATCACCATGGAAACTTGAAAATTGCAGAGAAGTTTAAAGAAGAAAACAATCACCCATACTTCTGCAACTCATACTTTTAATACTTTGGTGTTTACCCTTCTTACTTTCCTTTATGTATTTATATTATCTGTTTTTCTATACACATATGCACACATTACATTGCATATTTATCTGTTTTGTGTTTGTTTTAATTAATTGGCATTTTGCTCTTCACATGGTTATTTTTTCCAGGTTTTATAGCCTGCTTTTTTCACTCAACATTGTATCATAAGTAGTCTCCGCGATTAATTATTTTTATGCAGCAATGTTAAATGCTTCCTTGAGGGGCATCTAGCAGAGTGATGGAGAACTTGAGATCTACAAACCGATTTGGGCTCATGTCCCTACCAGATCCCTGCTGTTACCTAGTTATGAGACCTTGGGAGTCACTTACCCTCCCTGAACTTCTGTTTCCTTATCTACGTCCCTTTCCAATCTGAGGCTGAAATCTCTACCCCACAAGATTGTGATGGGGATTAAGCAGGTTAATAATGCTTAGCACAGGATCAAGCTCATGGTAGCATTCTTAAAATAGTTGCTGAATTTGTAGATATAGCAGCATTTTAACATGCTCATGATATTATCTCCTCTGATTGTACCATAATTACTGAACCATTCCCATCTCTTTGAACTTCTTGACCATTTCCCATTTTTTGCTATTATAAATACCTTTGCAATGAACATCTTTGTGCTAAACCTCTGTCTGTGCCCCTGATTATTTGGCCTTGACTCTTTGAGAACTCAGGGACAGAAACCTGGAGGAGGTGGGTTGATGGCCTTGAGGGAATCCTTAACCGTGCCCATCAGAAAGCTCTTCCTCTCTGTTCTCGCTCCTAGCCCCACAGCCAGATGCCTGTGAGCTGCGAGGAGCTTCCTAAGGAGTCCAGGCTTCTTTCCAGTGCCCTTTCTTGCAACGTGAGCTCTCCTATCTTTAAAGTAGGCACCTCGGTAAGTGCTCAAAGTCCCTAGGAACCAAGCACCCAAGGGACTATGAGCTGGCAGAAGGCAGGGGAGCTCCTGGCAAGGTGACTAGCAAAGAAGGGCTCACCAGATCCTCTACCCCAAGAGGAACGTATGCTGGCTTTTTTAAGTCATGTTCTAGGGCCTGGACTTTGGAATCATACAATGCTGGGATTGGGTCGTTCATTTTGTGACCTTGTACACGTGACTTAACCATTGGGAACCTCAGTTTTCTCATCTGTACAATGGGGATAAAACACCTAGCCTGGTACTTGAGATATAGTGAGCACTCAGTAAGTGGTAACCGTTATTGAGGTGACTGGGTGGTGGCTGTGAGGTGCTAGGGCTGCCCGCCTGAGGCCCAGGCCCCTTCCTCCTTCATTCCCTCTCCTTCCCTGCCAGGTTGTTATCCAGGTGATGTTTCATACGCTGCTAAACAGCTCCTGGGGGGACTTTGTCGAGCTGCACGCCAACGTGAGCTGGTGAGAGGCCCCAGGCATGCCCCGGCAGCATCCGTACCCTGGTCTCAGACTGCCACACAGTCCTGGCCAAGCCTTTCTCCTGACTCTGACCTCTACCTTGCTCCAATACAGTGACAATGAGGACTCAGGCCTCCTGGAGGACAACTCGGCCACCACCAGCATCCCAGTCCTGTACCCCATCAATATCCTCGTCGAGGAGTGAGTCCTTCCTGGCAGCCACCTAACCATCTCCTTCCACCCAGGGCCCCAACTTTGCCTCCTAGGTCTCTCCCTCTAAGCCCCTTTTCTTTCCTAGAGCCCCCAGGGAGTAATTAGAACTGACACCAGCCACAATCCCAATGGCTTTCAACACTCAAAAGAGTGAAGGTCCTTTAAGAGCTCTGAATGAAGTCAGCATTTACTGATGGAAACAAAATCATTGAATGCTGACCTGACGTTGGTGCCAGCTTCTCTGCATGGTTGATGGTTTTCCATGCAGCTTCCAACACTCTGTGAGGCAGCTGTTCCTCCCTCCATTTTACTAATGAGCAAACTGAGGGTCCGAAAAGGGAAGTGCTTGCCCAAGGTCATACAGCTAGGAAGTACTGAAGCCAGGATTTGAACTTAAGTCTATTGGACTCCAAAGCCTCAGGAGAGCTCTTTAATGTTTTCAGCAGTGCTGGAAGAGCTATGAGAAAAGTGTTCACCATGGCCATTGTTCTCGGGGAGCTTACAGTCAAGTTGGAGAAACCAAACTCAGATACAAGGAACCAGTGAAACTCAGAAGGCTGTTGCAGGAAGGGCCACTAGTTGGATTTTCGAATTTACAGAAAAGGAAACTGAACCTAGAAATGTAGAGTGGCTTTCTCAAGGTGGCTCAGTGAGCTAAGGACAGGGACAGTGTCCAAGCCCAGTTCTCCAGGGCTTTGACCTAAACGTCAAGCAGAATGATGAAGTATGACAGGAAATTGGAGCCAGGAAAGATGAGTGTGGGTTGGAGGAGAAATGGAAGGGCCATGGAACTGGGGTCTGGAGGATGGTGGGATTTGGATCAGGGCCAGGAAGGAGGACATTCTCATCAGAATAGCATAGGCAAAGGCATGGAAATGGTGGGATGGATCTAGGGAGCAAGGAGTGGACAGGCTTAGCAGAGGGCAGGTATATGCAAGTGAGAAGTGGGAAGGCACACTGGGAAGACGTGCGGGTCTAGACCTGGGAGGCTTTGGACCTGACCCTGGCAGTAGGGAGCCACTGATGGTTTCTGAGTAGGTGAGTAGCAGGGTCAGGGAGTGACATTAGCTGTGTCCATTGGAAGGATGGGGTGGGAGAGGGAGTCTACAGGCTCCCAGTGAGGCTGACGAAATTCTCTAGGAGCCGAGCAGTAGGGCCTAGATGACAGTGGTGAGACTGGTGAGGTGATATGGGGTGAGCATGGGCTCCATACACACACTGACCTGGGTTCCAGGCCTATTCCTCCACTGTGGGACCTTGGGCAAGCAGTTGACCCCTTCCATGAGCCTCAGGGGGAAACATCAGGTTGTTGTCAGGATTAAATGAGATCTGACCTGTGTAGTGCCTAGTACAATGGCTGGCAACTCAGAGGCTTGCCCTGGCCTAGGCCCCTGACGTCCTGCAGACTGTGTTGCTATCTTCGCCACTTTCCATCTTGCTCTTCTCTCTTTTTATAGCCAGAAGAACTCCACACTCTACATCAATTTCAAGCCTAAAGGTCCCAAGATTCAGTATATCAAGCACATCTACCAGGTATGAGCCTCAGTGTGAAAAGTTCTTAGAGGCACTATCTTAGGGACCGAGGATGCAGAGACTGGTTGGACACAGTCCTGTCCTCAGTGAGTCTGGCCCTCCACGTACTTCTATAATCCTTTCTAATCCTTGCTTAAGTGCTTCCGATGGCAGGACACTTGCTAACTCCTTTCCACACCTGGGTAGATTATTTATAGAATCACAGAGCTTGAGAGTGGAAAGGGCTCTGGAAGAGAACCTAGTTTTTGTTTGTTTTATTGTGATAAAATATATATAACATAACATGTACCTTTTTAACCATTTTAAGTGTACGATTCAGTGGCATTAATTACATTCCAGTGTTGTGCCACCCTTACCACTATCTATTTCCAAAACTTTTTCATCGCTCCAAAAAATAAACTCTGTACGTTGGGCAATAATTCCCCATTACCCCCTCCCCCAGCCCCTGGTAACCTCTGGTCTACTTTCTGTCTTTATGAATTTGTCTATTCTAGATATTTCATATAAGTAGGACCATACAATATTTGTTCTTTTTTGTCTGGCTTATTTCACTTAGAATAATGTTTTCAAGGTTCATCCTCATAGCCGCATGTGTGAGAACTTCATTTCGCTTCATGGCTGAATAATATTCTATATATGGACATACCTCACTTTGATTATCCATTCATCAGTTGATGGACACCGGGGTTGTTCTCATCTTTTGGCTATTGTGAATAGTGCTGCTATGAACATTGGTGTACAAGAATCTGTTTGAGTCCTGTTTTCTGTTCCTTTGGGTATATGCCCAGGAACGGAATTGCTGGGTCATATGGTAATTCTATGTTTAACTTTTTGAGGAACCACCAAACTGTTTTCCACAGTGGCTTACCATTTTGCATTCCCAGCAATGAACAAGGGTTGTGATTTCTCCACATTCTTGCCAACACTTGTTATTTTATGTTTTATTATTATTATAGCCATACTAGTGGGTTGTGAAAGGTCCCTGGATAGTGCAAACAGTTTGCACTCAACTACTAACCTAAAGGTTGGTGGTTCGAACCCACCCAGCAGCACTACGGAAGAAAGGCCTGGCAATCTGCTTCTGTAAAGAGTACAGCCAATACCACTAAAGACCGCCCTGACAGGGAACACAACAGACAGTCCGTGACGGAGAAGAAGAAAAGCGGGATACAGAACTCAAATTCTAGTAAAAAGGCCCAACTTAATGGTTTGATTGAGACTGGAGGGACCCTAGAAGGCATGGCCCCCAGACTCTCTGTTAGCCCAAAACTAAAACCATTCCCAAGGCCAACTCTTCAGACAAAGATTAGACTGGACTATGGGACAAAAGTGATACTCGTGAAAAGTGTGCTTCTTAGCTCAAGTAGATACAAGAGACTAAACGGGCAGCTCCTGTTGGGAGGTGAAATGAGAAGGCAGAGAGGGTCAGGAGCTGGTTGAATGGACATGGGAAATCCGGGATGGAAAGGAGGAGTGTGCTGTCACAGGATAGGGAGAGCAATTAGGGTCACGTAACAATGTATGTATAAATTTTTATATGAGAGCCTAACTTGAATTGTAAACTTTCACTTAATGCACAACAATTAAATAAAAATGAAATAAAAAAGAGTACAGCCAAGAAAACCCCATGGAGTACGGCTCTACTGTGACACACGCAGGGTCGCCATGAGTCAAAATCAGCTTGCAGGCAATTAGTTTGGTTTGGGTTTTAATGGAGAAGAAGTGGCTCTCATTGTGGTTTCCATTTGCATTTCCCTAAGATGTTGAGCATCTTTTCACGTACTTTTAGGCCATTTGTACATCTTCTTTGGAGAAATAGCTATTCAGGTCCTTTGTCCACTTTTTAACTGAGTGGTTTGTCTTTTTTGTTGTTGATTATAGGAGTTCTTTATACATTTTGGATATTAGACGCTTATCAGATATATGATTTGTGGGTTGCCTTTTTACTTTACTGATAAAAGTCCTTTTGTCTACTTTGTCTCTTGTTGCTCGTGCTTTAGGTGTCATATTAGAGAACCTAGTTTTTCACTCAAACATTTAATGAGCTACTGTCCTAGTTTAGGTACCTTGCTAGGTGCTGGCGGCAGTAATAAACGACAGAGTCCCTGGCCTTGGGGAGCTCACGATTGAGAGAAGGCAGATCTGTAAACATATAATAATATACTTATAATTCCCACTCATCAAACCAGTTTTGGGTTCTGTGCCTAGTGCTTTATATACGTATCCCCCGATGATTCTCACACCAACCTGTGTGATCTCTGTATGACAGGTATTGTCGTTCCTGTTTTACAGACAAGGCATCTGTGGCACAGACAGGTTGAGGAACTTGCCCAAGTTACACAGCTAATAAGGGGAAACACAGATTTGAGTGCTTATCTGAACACAGACATCCACGTGTTTAACACCGGCGGCTGCCTGCACTACTCAGGGTGCTCCTCCAGAGCAGCTGCGCTCACTGCCATGCTGCCAGGCCACCAGGCCGGGGTTGTCTTAGAGGTCACCTCTGGGAGGGGAGTAGGCACTGACCAAGTCAAGAACATTTCATTTTACTGTGGAGGAAACAGAGGTCACAGAGGGGAACTGATTCTCCCTAGGCGACACTGGAGTCAGGGTACACCCGGGAAGGAGCCCCTCAGTAAAGCATCCCGAGCAGCTGGGGCCCTTTAGAAAAGGGCTGTCATGATTGATCTTACCACCACACTGTGACTACGGAGAGGGAGCATGGCCTTTGAGGAGGTCAGACGCTCATTTGCATTGAAATAGAACGTTTTAAATGACCAGTTGAATTGGCTTCTAGAGTTGTTCATTGGTAAGGCTCTGGGTTCCCCACAGAGGTTAGCCAGGCAGGTCCTTCATTCCCCAGAGCAGTGGTAAAGAGTCAGAGAGTCATGCATCTAAATCCCAGTTCTGTTGCTTGCTCTCTACGTGACCTTGGATCAGGGACTGAACTTCTTCATGCCTCAGTTCCCTCCTATGGCAACCAACAAAACCAAACCTGTGGCTGTTGAGTGGATTCCAACTCTTGGCAAACCCACGTATTTCAGAGCAGAACTGCCCTCCATAGGGTAACCTCTGGTCTACTTTCTGTCTTGGCTGTGATCTTTCAGAAGCAGAACGCCAGGCCTTTCTTCCGAGGCACCTCTGGGTGGATTCGAACCACCAACCTCTCAGTTAGTAGCCGAGTGTTTAACCGTTTATGCCACCCAAGAACTCCTACCTATGGCAAATAGTTTTAAACAAGAACTTCACAGGTGATTGTGAAGTTTAAAGGGTTACTTACTTCCTGTAAAATACTTGGCATGATGCCTAGGGAAGTGGGGGTGGTTAGAGGAGTGTGGTGGGTGTTGTGCCGCAGCTGTTTCGGAAGCCTTGCACTCTGGCCTCCCTCAGCCTAGAACCAGCTCAAGCCCTTGAGCTTCCTCCCTCTCCCTTCTTGGAAGCGTCATCAGGGCTGGCCGTCTCCATTTTTCTCACCACCTACCATGCATTTAATTCCCCACTGCCCGCCTGCCAAGCAGCCACTCTCGCTGAAGGTCTTTGTTTTAGCTAAACCCAGTCAATACCCCTAAAACTCTCTACGGCGTGGGACACTGGTGATCCATCCCCTGTTTCCTGAAACTGTCCCATTGGTCAGATCCTTTTTGCCACAAGGAGGTCAACTCTAATAATTGGGGTTGATTGTAAGCTAGACGGACACAGAAACACAGGAAGAGCTGGGCAGCCAGGCCATAGAATCACCTTCCTCGTGGTCCTCATTATATGAATCAGCTGCTCCTCTGAGTGATTAGGAGCGTAGGCTTTGACTTCAGACGGACTTGAAATCGTTTTGAAGCTCTACCTTTTAAAGCTATGTGGCCTTGGGCAGGTTATTTAACCTCTCGGAGCCTCAGTTTTTCAATCTGTAACCTGGGAATGGCAATGGCACCTTCCTTATACAGTTGTAGTGAGGAGCAAATGAGAAAATGTGTGGTAAGTGATCAGCACAGTGTTCGGTGCGCAGTAAGGTTTCAGTCAACACTGGCTGTTTTTAGCATTAGTGTTATCACCATCAGAGCCTTGGTGGTGCGGTGGTTAAGAGCTCGGCTGCTAACCAAAAGGTCGGCAGTTTGAATCCACCAGCCGCTCCTTAGAAACTCTATGGGGCAATTCTACCCTGTCCTATAGGGTCGCTATGAGTTGGAATCGACTCGACGGTAACGGGTTTTTGGTTTATTACCATCATCTTCCGAGGGAAGTGATAGAGCACAGTGGTCTGGTCTCTGGAATCATCCAAGGTTAAAATGCCACCTCTGCTACTTGATTGCTTCAGACAAGTTAGCTAATCTCCCCAAGCCTCAGTTCTCTCACTTGTAAAAGGAGGAGGATAGTACTACCACCACATTTTTGTTGTAAAGACTAAATGAAATAATGCACCTAATGAGGATCAGATGAGGCTGAGCATGCTCAATGCTCAGTAAACGGGGATTATCACTGCATGCGTGTTGTAACCTATATCTTCTGATTTGTTAGCAGGAGCGTGGAGTGTGGCTTTCCTGGCCTTGCACTACTGGTTGCTCTGGATCAGTTTCCACTTACACGTCTCATGTCCCATAGTGTTGTCCAGTGTCCCGCTTTCAGCTGATAGACTCCCAGATCAGGGTCCCTCCTGCTCCTCCAGTCCACCTGGAGGACTACAGCTTGTTTCTCATCTCCACAGAAATGTCTGCCTAGCATGTTTTTTTTTTAACAGCTTTATTGAGATATATAATTCATATGCCATACAAGTCACCCATTTAAAGTGTACAACTCAATGGCTTTTAGCATATTCACAGAAATTTATAGAATATTAGTATATTCACCACAGAATTGTGCAGCGACTACCTCCATCTAGTTCTAAAACATTTCCATCACTCCAAAATAAAACCCCAAACCCATTAAGAAGTCTCTCCCCATTCCCCCTCTAGCCAGCCCCAGGCAACCACCAATCTGTGTTCTGTCTCTATGGACGTACCTATTCTAGATATTTCATATAAATGGAATCATACAGTGCATGGCGTTTTGTGACTGGAGTCTTTCATTTAGCATAATGTTTTCAAAGTTGATCCACACTGTAGCATGTATCAGTATTGTATTCCTTTTCGTGGCTGAATAATATTCCATTACATGTATATACCACATTTTGTTTATCCATTCATCCATTGGTGGACATTTGGGCTAGTTCCACCCTTTGGCTATTGCGAATAGCGCTGCTATAAGCATGCACACGCACATACTTGTTTGAACACCTGTTTTCAATTCTTTTGGGTATATACCTAGGAGTGGAATTGCTGGGTCATATAGTAATACTACAGTTAACTTTTTGAGGAACCACCAAACTGTTTTCCACAGTAGCTACACCATTTTATATTCCCACCAGCAATGTACTAGGGTTCCAGTTTCTCCACATCATCACCAACACTTTTTATTTTCTGAGTTATTTGTTTGTTTCATTTTAGGCACAATGGTTAAGTGTTTGGCTGCTAACCAAAAGGTCGGCAGTCCAAATCCACCAGCAGCTCCTTGGAAACCCTATGGGGCGGTTCTACTCTGTCCTAAAGGGTCGCTACGAATCGGAATCGACTCAACGGCAATGGGGTTTTGGTTTTATCTTTGTTAAATGTCATTCATTCATTCACAAAACTTTTTTTTGAGGCCAATTATATGATAGGTACTGTGCCAAGAAGTAGGGAGTTAGAGGTGCAACAAGACACAGCTCTAGTGGAGACAGACACACAAGCAAATACACTGCCATCCTGCTGGGACTGTAGAGTGCTGTGGAGACACAGGAGGGGGACGTTGTCCTGTCCTTTGAGAGTCAGCGAAACCTCCAGAGATGATACTTGAGCAGGACCTTGCAGGATGTGTGAGAGCTGACCACATGGAGAAAGCAGGGAAGAGCAACCCAGACAGAGGGAGGAGATGTAACTGAGACTATAAGGCCTTGGGGACAGGGGCCCAGTATGGTTGATCGTTGCACACTGCCTAACAAATAGCAGGCCCTTGAGACTCAGCCAATGAGGTTAGAAGAGGTGTGAAAGGCTGCAGGGTGAGATAGAGCTGGGAGACTGGCATTCAGGGCTCTGCAGCCCCATGTTCTCTGTCCAGGTGATGATTCAACCTTCTATCCATGACCACGACGTGCCTGCCCTGGAGGCCTTGGTTGGGGTGCCACAGTGTCACAGCAAGGGACCCATCACATACACGTGGGTGGTGCAGATGGTGAGTGCTGCCCAGAAGGGGAAGAAACATGGGTCTGTTGGGGGTGGGCTCAGAAAGGAGTGCAGATGGTGGAGCTAGATGTGTGGGAAGGGGGTGAAGATGGGTAAATCCTGTCAGACTTGGTGGTATCTGAGTCCACCAAGGGCCAGTGGGGGAGGAGAGCTGGGATGCCCAGGTCTTATCTGGGCTGGGGAAAGGAATGCCAGATTCTGGCATAAGGGACCAGTGTCTTCTCTCAGCTCTGGACTAACCAACAACCCCACCTCATCATTCTTAGGAGCCTCCTGTCACCTGCCATAATGAGACACTGAAGAGGCTGCCCAGCGACACTGAGGTAGGGGCATGTGAGCTAAGGAATGGGTGGCAGCAGGGCAAAGTGTGAGGGTGTGGACAGGGGAGAGACGGGCCTCTCTGACCCCCCTGCTACTCCTGGTCCCCATCAGCCCTGCCTCCCTGGAGCTGAGTTCCGCTGCCCAGTTGTCTTCAAACAGGAGACGGCCATCCAAGTAATTGCAAGAGTCGAGCTCGTGGGAGAGATTGAGGTAACATCCACCTGCTCATAACAGACAGGAAGTGGTTGCAGGTGCCCAAGTGCCTTGAGTAGTGGTGGGTGGGTTTCCCCATCAGATAATCTTTCTCCTTTTTTTATTTTCTATCTTGATGAAAAATCCCCAGTGTTTACACATTTGCTGATGAAACAGAACCATGTTTTGTGTAAAATTTACAAGTTTGTTTTCATGGGCCTGTGGATAGTTCTTATATGTTCCTTATAGAAAAACTTTCCTCCCAGCAATGCAAAGGGGCACATTAGAATGCTACAGTGAGACTTGAATAGAGGTGGTGCCCCGCACTGGGACCCATTCTCCTCTACCTCTCCCCATTGATTAGGGACAGAAATGAATTGGTCCTTGGTCCTTGTCCTCCGTGGCCCTCACGCCTACCCCTACTCTCCCACAGGCCTCCTCTATGTTCAGGCTCTGCAGCTCCGTCTCCATCTCCTTCAACAGCAGCAAGCACTTCCACCTCTATGGCAGCAGTGCCTCCCTGGCCCAGGTATCTCCCCCTGGGGAACAGGAAGTTGAGGGATCTGAAGAGCCTAGCGCACAGCTAGCAGTGGTAGGACTACTAGGCTCAGCACAAATAAAAACTTCCCAACAGCCAGAGCCATCAGTGTTGGAAAGGCTTCCTTGAAAGCAGTGAGCCCCCCACCAACTGCAGGTGGTCAAACAGACCACAAGGCCACCTAGCTGAGATGTTGTAGACTTATGTGTCAGGCGAAGATAAATCTTTGTCCAGCAAAGGGATACCAGCCCCACAGCCAGACAGCAAAGAGCTGGGCGCATTATGGGGAGAGCAGCAAGTGCAGAGGCCCAGGGTGGACAGAATGAGAGTGGCAAGTATGAAGAGCAGGAAGTTCAGCTGACTGGGAGGTAGAGCAGGAGGAGGGAAGATGAAGCTAGAAAGGTAAGCAGAAGTCAGATTCTGGAAGGCTTTGAATGCTGAGCTGAGATTCTGGGACTTTATCCTGGGGCTAATGGGGAGCCATTTAAGGGCTTGAGGTAGATCATGGTGAGTGTTTGCCAAATCACTCTGGTGACTACAGTGGAGAATCTATCAAGGGAGAGAGACAGGAGCCAGAGCCCGGTCTGCGACACAGTCTGGGTGGGGAATGGTAAGACCTAGGGGTTGGGACCAGAATCAAAGGGAATTTCAGAGGTAGGAAGGACTTCTTCCCTGCCCTTCCCTCTACGCTTTTCCCCAGGTCATCACAAAAGTTGATGTTGTATATGAGAAGGAAATGCTCCATGTCTACGTGCTGAGTGGCATCGGGGGGCTGCTATTGCTGCTGCTGATTTTCGTGGCGCTATACAAGGTGGGAGCTTCTGGAAATAACAGACATTGCTAAGACAGCCTTAGGAAAGGAGGAATTGGCAGAAGCCAGAGAGGAGAATCCTAAGACCACAGAGCATTAAAGCTAAAAAGGGCCTCAGTCAACCTCCTCCTTCTACAGCTAAGGCTACTGAGGCCCAAAGAGCAAGAGAGACTTTTCCACCATCACTCATCAAAGTTCTGGCAGAGCTAGGACTAGGTACCAAGGGAGAGGAAGGAGCTCCCTTATACTGAAGGCCCCCTGTGCGTGAGGCACTGGGATACAGAGGTGCACACCATACACATGATCCCTGCCTTTGTGGGGCTCACAGTCTAATGGGGGAGACAGACAGGAACAAGCATGTTGAGGGTTACAAAAGGGGGCCTATGTGCTTTGGAACCTATAACAGAAGGACTAACCTAGGCTAGGCGGAGTCCAGGAAGGCCTCCAGAGGGAGGTGGCATTTGATCTGAGATTTGAACGATGAGAGGAAGTTAACCAGGTGAAGACTAGTGGGGGATCAGGTGTTGTATGTAAAAAACTCAAATATTACAGAAACAAGAGAACCTAAAAAATCAAAGTTTCTCCATGTTGCACTTCTAGAGGGTGGTTACTAACAACCATTTTGTTTATATTCCTCCAGGTTTTAATTTTTTTGTAGCATGTGTATGGGTGTGTGAGGGAGAGAAAGTCAGTTTATCTGTTTATATCTAGAAAACGTAAACGGGATGGTACCATATACTACCTGGGTATTTGTATTTCCCACTTGATCTTATTATATCTTGATGTCTTTCCATATGAGCACAATCAGAATACCTCTTGCGTTTTAACCACTACGTAATCTGGATGTCCCATTGTTTATTTAATGAGCTCTATTGATGTATATTTGGATTGTTCTAATATACATCTATTTCAAACAATATGGAAAAAAAACCACTCTGATTACCCACATCTTTGTACATTTGTCCAAATATTATTTAGGCTTAATTCCTAGAAGTGGAATTGCTGGGCCAATAATTGTATATGTTTTAAGCTTTCAATAGAGAGAACATGGCACTTAATAAACACTTTTCTAGGCATTGGCTTCTTTTCTTAGTAATACTAGATGTTGTCAGTTCACCCACCTAAAAGATTGGTACATGACTTTTTTCTAATAGACTTTGTCTTCTAGAGCAGTTTTAGATTTACCAAAAACTGTGTAGGAAGTATTGAGTTCCTATGTATTCCCTCCACCCTGGCACACTGTTTTTCGTATCAGCATCTGGCATTCCTGTGGTACGTTTGTTATAACTGATGAACCAGTACTGATACATTATTGCATGACATTTTGATGAGCCTGAAGAAGAAACTGCTAGGTTTACAGCTTTAACATATTACCAAGAACTATGAGGAGCAGCTACCATCACCCCATCTGGGCACCAAGTCTCTGTAGCAGATATAACTCAGTAACATAAACAGTGTTTTCACATTTCACAGGGGCAGTCTGGTCTGAAGTGCTCTGTCTCCCCGCAGGTTGGCTTTTTCAAACGGAACCTGAAGGAGAAGATGGAGGCTGTAGGTGCCCCAGACGGAAATCCTGGAGAAGACTCTGAGAAGCCAGAGTCTGGGGAAGAGGCAGTGGATCTGGGCTGCCTGGAGCCCCTCCATGGGAAGGAGGCCCAGGATGAAGAGTCAAAGACTGAGGCCCAGGACTGACGCACAGAGGGTCTGGGACTGGACTCTGGATGCCTGAGGCTGGTCTACCTTGACCTGCATTTCACTGTGTGTCCTCAGGCAAGTCACCGCCCCTCTCTAGGCCTCAGTGTCCCCATCTCAAACATGGAGCTGGTTCCCGCCTGCCTGCTTTGCAGGCTCATGATGAGGATAGGCTGAGAGACAGGCCAGGAAGGCTACAGAGGTGAGGCCTTGTAACTGTCAGATTGTCTTGGCTTCCACAACCACTCCTGGTCTCCTCCCCAGGAGGAGAAATGTCTGATTTAAATTTGGAGAAACTGTAATCTCAGGACCTAGCGACACTTCTGGCCCCCCCATGCACCTGTCCTTGGCTGTCCACAGATGCCTCAGACTCCCACACTGAACTGGCCTGCACCCTCTCTTGCCTGGAGTCCGGTCAGCTTTCCATTCTTCTGCTAGAGAGTGAATCTGATCTGTATCACTACATTGTCGTGGCAAACCTCTTGCTCTTTGGCTCAAGCCCACATTCCTTAATAAGCCTTCCAAGGCCCTGCAAAGGTGGGCCCCTGTTGCTCTCCTCAGCCTCCTCTAGAAACACTTCTCCCTAAGCTCCAGCTCCACCAGCCTTTCTCATGTGCCAAGCTCCCTCCTGTCTCACTCCCACATAGCTCCCTCTGCCTGGAGCACCCCCCACCCCTTTCCTGGCTAGCTCTCACTCACCCTTCAGATCTCAGCTCCTGCATCACTTCCTCAGGGCAGCCCCTCCCACTTCATCTTAGTTGGGTTCCCATATTATACACTCTTTTAACAGCCTGCACTTGTCCTTCATCACATGGATCATATTTGAATTAACTATTAGATGATTTACTTACTCTCTGGCTCTCAGAATGAACTCCATGAGGGTAGGGACCTTGTTCTTGTTCACTTTGGGATTCCTGGTGTTGTCACAGGGCCAAACACATAGTAGGTGCTTGACACAATTCCATCACATTAATGAGGGAGCCTGTGGGCAGATGTAGAAAAGTTTGGATGGACTATGGCAGCCACATCCTTCAAGGCTCAGCCTTCCCCGTCAGCCCGTTGCTCCACAGCCTCTCCTGGGACTCCAACACACCATATGCAGTGGCCCCTGTGAGACTGTGAACTCAAGGGTGGGGACACGTCTGTTTGCCTGGATCCCCAGTGTCGAGTACGGTGCCTGCATATATCTTACCTAATAAATGTGAAATTCTGCCCAGTTGTTGTGATGTGTTTGTGCTGGCCCAATATTCAGCCTGGCCCAACTAAATGGACATTTCCTTCTCATCCTTTTCACTAAATGGGCCTAAAACACTCAGCTCTTTTTCCTTTTTCTTTCTACTGTTCTTCCTCTCTCTCTCTCTCTCTCTATTCTTCCCATGATGACTCTGGGAGCTAATTAAAAAGAGAAGCAAGGAGTGAGATGGGAAGTGAGAAGAGGTGGGGGGGCATTTGACAATTAGTTAAACGTGAATTTCCGGCCTGTAGAAGGGAGGGCGGCCGGTCACTGCTGCCCTCTTACCTTAGTAGGAAGTGGGGGAGGGCGATACTGAGCAACTTTAAAACCAGATCCAGCACTGGAGAGGGGAGCGAAGACAGGTGCATCCATTTAAGGTGAGACGTGAGAAACATTTTGGCCCCCCAAGCAGCTCCGTGCCGCCTACAGGGAATAAATGAAAATTTACAAGCCTGGCATACAAGACCCAGGGCAATCTTTCCTTATCCGCCTCTCCAGGTTCATCTGCCCGCCCCGGCCCAGCCCCCAAGGAACCACAGGCTGGCTCGTAAGCATGACATCAGGAAGGAAGAAATCAGGCACATTTTCCCAGAGAGATTAAAAATGTCTGTCAGGAATATCCCAGAACTACTAAAAGTACATGAAATTATCTCTAGATATCATGAAACATCAGTCAGTTTCTACTCATTCATCTAGTGTTTTTTGAGGGCTTACTTTGTATCAGCCCCTTTTCTGGGCTGTAAGGACCATAGTCTTGAACAAAACAGGTAAGTTCCTGCTCTCAAGAAGCTTCCACTCCCATGGGAAAACAGACAGTAAACAAATAGAAACTGGATTTCAGTATCGATAAGGGCTGTGAAGAAAACAAAGCAAGATAATGGGTGAAAGGTGATAGAGAGGGCTGTTTTAGATTCGTGGTCAGGGAAACTTCTCTGAGGAGGCCATATTCTGTGACACTAAAAAAAACAGTGGCTATTTTTATCAAGATCAGAAACAAAAGCACAGAAAACCTAGGAAGTTTATTTCAGGATGAGCTCTGCTATCATCATGGCCAGGAATTGGTATCCCACCTCACCCAAGAGCACCATCCTCACATACTTAGTTGTCCTTCGCCACCTCTGTGCCTTTGCATATGCTGTTCCCTTTGCCAACATGCCCTATTCCCCTTCTTTGAATTCATCAAAATTTTCCTTATTTTAAGGCACTTCCTCACCCCTCCGTTCTTGGACAAAATTACAGTCATGCGTTACTTGATATCCATAATACGTTCTGTGAAATAGGACATTATGTGTTTGGACAGTATGCAAAGACTATATACAGGCAGTCTCTGGGTTACAAACGTCCCACTTATAGACAATGCTTAATTAACGACTTATCATAAAGCCTATTATATTAAAAATTTGAGGTAAATAGAATGGTTTGTAATAACGAACGTACACACTACTTTGTGACGCTCCTGAAAACATTGTGCAGTTTGGAAGTGTTTCTTAAGTGTTTTAAATGCATAGAAAGGTCAAGTATATATTATATTCTAACACAAACATTTGACTGACACTAAATAAGAACCGTATGCACCGTTCTAACTTACCTACAAATTCGACTTAAAGACAGACTTAGGAGTGGATCTCATTTATAACCCGGGACTGCCTATATACAAGAGACATGAGACACACATGTGGTGTGTGGGAAGCTATTCACGACATCCAGTTACATTCCCTGTATCCCATTCTTTGATCGAGATTTCTGAACTCTTTTATAACCTATGGGTCTGCGGATGAATACGCAGTTGGTCATTGCCTGAACGGAAGTCATGCGGCGCATGACTGTACTCTTTCCATCAGCACTTTGTTTATATCTCCCTAAGGCACAGTCTGAGTCTGTGGCGGATCCTGTCTCAGGACAATGAGTCCTGGCAAGCAAGGACCCAGGCCTCATTCACATGTATTACCAACACCTGGCCCCTCACTGGGGGCTAGCACACAGGAGGTGTTCACTAATGTTTAATTCAGTGCTTCTCAAACGTTTTGGTCTCAGGATCCCTTTATACTCTAAAATTATTGAGGATCTCCAAAGAGCTTTTGTTTATATGGGTTATATCTATTGATATTTACCAACTTAGAAATTAAAACAGAAAAATTCAAACCGTAAGAGCACAGAAGCTGCACTCCACAAGCCGTCGGTGTCATCACATGTCATGTAGCCTCTAGAAAACACTGTACACTTGTGAGAGAGAGAGTGAAAAAGGTAAATAACATCTTAGTCTGGTCAGGAAAAGGGTCAAAATCCAGTCAGCCCTGGGTTCGAATCCAGGCTCTGCCGCTTTCCTAGCTGTGTGATATGGGACAATTGATGCTGCTGGGACTCATTTCCTCATTTATAAAATGGGAACAATAATTGTATATCCCTCAGAGCTGTTGTGAGCATTAAAGGAGATAGCATTTGTAGCGCTTGATAATGGCGCTGGACAGAAGTGGTTTAGTTGGGCAGGATGACGTAGCAGAAAGCAGCATGCTGGACTGCACATCAAGAGACCTGGGCTGACAGAAAGCATGGCCCCTGGGTTCTCTATCAGCCCAGAACTAAAACAATTTCCGAGGCCAATTCTTCAGACAGGGATTGGACTGGATTGTGGGACATAAAGTGATACTCGTAAGGAGTGGGCCTCTTAGCTCAAGTAGATACCTGAGACTCAACAGGCAGCTTCTGTCCAGAGGGGAGATGGGAAGGCAGAGAGGGTCAGGAGCTGGTTGAATGGACATGGGGAATCGGGGGTGGAAAGGAGGAGTGTGCTGTCACAGTATGGGGAAAGCAGTTAGGGTCACATAACAATGTATGTATAAATTTTTGTATGGGGAAAAAGAAAAAAAAAAAAAAAGAGAGAGAGAGAGAGAGAGAGACCTGGGTTGGTGTTCTAGCTCTTTCATTAGCTTGCTGTGTGACTTTGGGGAAGACATGTACTCTTTCCAAAGGTTTAATCTGCTCCACCTGGGCTCTGAAGGTACCTTAGGAGTAGTCACGAAACACAGAGGTGAGAGCTAAGCAGCCAAGTCCCCACCCCCATTTTGTCTGGGTTTATATTTTGAGGTTCTGTGCATACAGGCCACTTTATCAATTAGACACATTAGGCACTGTGTCCAGGGCCTACCAGCTTTCAAGGGTCTGCAAACTTTTTGGGAACAGAAAAAAAATCAACACCAAAATGTGAAAATTAAATTGTATAATCAAAATAAATGTCTTCAAATGAAACCTCACATCAGGGAGTCAACTGCAGTTCTACTCAACATATATGGTTACATATGTGAACTGTATTAAATGTGGCGATTAGTGTATTTTAATCATTGAAGGTGGTAGCGCATCTGTATAAAAACCGTGTGTAAAGTTTATAAAAGGACTTAAAAAGACTGAAGGTTTCACTTGGAAAAAGAAAAAAGTTCTGCTTCCAAAAATAATTTAAACTTTGAAAACTGCTAAACCATCCCGACTGCATTGAAGTACCTGACGTCTAAGGCTCTTTCCAGAGCTTGCACATCAGTGAGGGGCTGAACAGAAATGTGCTTAGCAAAGGGATTTGCTCTTTACAAGTTATAAGGCCCTGAGGATGAGTGTAGGATGGTGGTGACATCAGGATCGAGAGGTCCAGGAGACCTTGTAGAACAACAACTCCCATACATGCCCCACGTGGCCAAGCTGCTGGGGGGAAGCAGAGCCAGGCAGATGTGGTTTGCATCAAAGATCTGCCTCTTAGCCACTGAGCGACTTTGAGAAATCACTTAGCTCTGTGAGCCTGTTTCCTCCTGTGTGAAATAGAATGAATGCATCTTTCACAGGGTTGTTGTGCAGACTGAATGAAGGGGTACTGTCAGACCCTTAGTAGGCGTTCATCTCAGGATGTGCCAGGCAGCCAGGTGATTCCCCAGGAAATCCTGTCCTCCTCGGCTAAGGTCACGACAGGCCACACTTCAGAATCCCTCTGACTACTTGATGGCCCCAACTCCCTGTCCTTTCCTGAGGAACCAAGTGTTCAGAGGGGCCAAGGCTTGGATGGGAGAGGAACTCAGGATAAAGATGGGGTGGGGGTGGGGTCCCAACAAGAAGTATAAAACCAAAACCAAACCCGTTGTCACCAAGTCAATTCCAACTCATAGCAACCCTATAGGACGGGGTAGAACTGCCCCACAGGGTTTACAAGGAGCACCTGGTGGATTCCAACTGCCGACCTTTTGGTTAGCAGCTGTAGCTCTTAACCACTGCACCACCAGGGTTTCCAACAGGAAGTATAGGAGTCCTAAAAAGGAGGCAGCACTCTGGAAAATCGAGCTCAGCAATGGGGTTTGGGTCACTCCAGTCCTGGTAGGAGGGTCTTAGGGGCTGAAGTAGTTGGCCAATCCTCATACTCAAATATTTACTCCCCATGGGTGGGGTTGGAACTGCAGACACTTCTTGGCTCAGGTCTCAGAGCCTCAAGTCAGGGTCTTCACATGGTGGTTAGAGGTTCCAACGAGGGCAGGGGGAAGGCTGGGCAGGTGGGTGCTAGGAGTCAGAGAGAGCAGATGGAAAATGGGCTGTATATCTGGATATGAGATTCAGAGTCTGTCTTCTGGCCCAAGGAAAGATCCTCTGTTTGAGGGTCTTAACTAATGAGAAAGGAGATCCCTGCAAAGTTGAGGGCTTTCTCACACTTCTACACACGGCCACCCCTTCCGCATTTGTGCTGTATTCAAAGCGGGACGTGAACTTGGGCAGATATGGGCAAGTCACGCCCCCCGAGGCTCAGATTTCCAGTGTGTAAAACGGGAAGGTTACAAAACATTCTAGTGAAACACTGAACCCAAAGCACTCCCAGACGAGGCCCTGGGGCTCCTGTGGCAGTTCTTAGTTATGACCTCACATCTCCCACTACCCATGCATACATTTTGACGACAAATTTCTTTTACCACGTGAAGGTTTTTATTGAACTCAAATTCAGGGGCCCCAAAGCCTGAGGAAGACAAGGGAGGGTG